CGAGAGAGAGAGAGAGCGCGAGAGAGAGTGCGAGAGAGAGCGAGCGAGAGCGCGAGAGAGAGCGAGAGCGCGAGAGCGAGAGCGAGAGCGCGAGCGAGAGAGAGAGCGAGAGAGCGCGAGAGCGAGAGCGAGAGAGCGAGCGAGAGAGCGAGAGAGCGCGAGAGCGAGAGAGCGAGCGAGCGAGAGAGCGAGAGCGCGAGAGAGCGAGAGCGCGAGAGCGAGAGAGCGAGCGAGAGAGCGAGAGCGCGAGAGAGCGCGAGAGCGAGCGAGAGAGCGAGCGAGAGAGCGAGAGAGCGAGAGAGCGAGCGAGAGAGCGAGCGAGAGAGCGAGCGAGAGAGCGAGAGAGCGAGCGAGCGCGAGAGCGAGCGAGAGAGCGAGAGAGCGAGCGAGAGCGCGAGAGAGCGCGAGAGCGAGCGAGAGAGCGAGAGAGCGAGAGAGAGCGCGCGAGCGAGCGAGAGAGCGAGAGAGCGAGAGAGAGCGCGCGAGAGAGAGAGAGCGAGAGCGCGAGAGAGAGAGCGCGCGCGCGAGAGAGAGAGCGAGCGCGCGCGAGAGAGAGAGAGAGAGCGCGCGAGAGAGAGAGAGAGCGCGCGCGCGAGAGAGAGAGAGAGAGCGCGCGAGAGAGAGAGAGAGAGCGCGCGCGCGCGAGAGAGAGAGAGAGCGCGCGCGAGAGAGAGAGAGCGCGCGCGCGAGAGAGAGAGGGCGCGCGCGCGAGAGAGAGAGGGCGCGCGCGCGAGAGAGAGAGAGCGCGCGCGCGAGAGAGAGAGAGAGCGCGCGCGAGAGAGCGAGAGAGCGCGCGCGAGAGAGCGAGAGAGAGCGCGCGAGAGAGCGAGAGAGAGCGCGCGAGAGAGCGAGAGAGAGCGCGCGAGAGAGAGCGAGAGCGCGCGAGCGAGAGAGAGCGAGAACGAGAGCGCGAGAGAGAGCGAGCGAGAGCGCGGGAGAGAGCGCGAGAGAGAGCGAGAGCCCGAGAGCGCGAGAGAGAGCGAGAGCGCGAGAGCGAGCGAGAGAGCGAGAGCGAGCGCGAGAGCGCGAGAGCGAGAGCGCGAGAGCGAGAGAGCGAGAGCGCGAGAGCGAGCGAGAGCGAGAGCGCGAGAGAGAGGGAGAGCGAGAGCGCGAGAGAGAGAGCGAGAGCGGAATGGAAGTAGGAGTGTCTTCTTAGCAGCTTCAATGCTTCTAAAAGCATTTAGAATTAAATAAATAAAACTTGGCAAACTGCTATTACTTGTATTTTATATACGTTGGAGACGCTCCGAATGTGTCTTTCATATTGAGTTTGCTTCTCTTGGCCACGTCCCCTTTTGCACAGAACACTTGAGCATACGAATTACCTCTTATTTACTACACTTCTATTCCAAGCTATCACAATATTCCTTTCACTTGACCAAAATCTTAGAACACTTGCACACTACCTAAAACCAGTAGTTCTTACCACTCGGACGAGGGGAAGTCCATGGTGGATGGGACGAGGGGTAGTGAGCAGTATATATAACATGATGCATAATTATAATAAGCAAGAGGTGGCAGGTTTCGCCGGCGACATCTTAAAATAAATATAATAAATATAAGAAAATTATATTAATAAATAATAAATCTTAAAATTATACTAATAAATAAACAATACATTTTGAAAATTACACTACGAAAATAATTTTAATTTTTCGTGATTGGTTACTTCTTTGTCATTTCACTTCCTAGTACATTTGAGCGCTACTACTTCTGCCTTTGAAGTGAAAATTGCACAGCCGTAATTTTGATGTTTTCATTTGATATTTGATGTAGATTGAGCTAGCTGTCGAAGTGGTTAAGTCAATTTCTGTTTAAGAGTTACGCTTCTTGCGCACTTTGGATTCTTTGTGATTTGTTTTTTTGATCGTCGAGCGTTTGTGTGAAAATAAGTATGGTTTTTATGCGTATAGGCGAAAGGGATGTTTCGTAATGATTTTAAACAATGTATTGATTGCGACAGGGTTTAGTCACTTCGTGTGTTCAATAAGGTCGGAAGAAATTCTGTAATAGCTTGGAATGAAAGTGTTCTAAGAAAGATGTTAATCATAGAAAACGGCGAATTTTCGAAAGAAAAACTCCTATTGTCGGGTACTGATAACAAAAAAGAGGATGAATCGTGTTGCTGTATAGTAGTAGTATATAGTAAATTACTTCCTATAACATTTGGTGCAGCCAGAATCCATGTTTAGTGGGTCCTTGATACTGAAAAATCGATTGACGGCAAAATATCAGCCTAGTCGCCTATCCGTCGGTGGTCAACGCAAGCGCCTAAACCGTTCAGTGGGTTTTCACCAAAATTGGTCATCCGTGATCGATCTGAACGAACTCGGGACGATGGGAGTTTCAAAGCGATATTTTGATTTTTGAGGGTATTTTACATGCAGCCTCAAAATATTTCCAAAGGTTTCTGAAAAATGGCTTCACATTTATTGATTAAACTTTGTCCTCAGATAGCGTTGCTTAAGAGAATAGTGAAGGTGTTATTTTTGTTAAAATCTCTAATTTTGCTAAAATCGCAAAAGGGCAATTTTTTGGGGGGGGCGTGTTACTACAGCTCCAATATTGAAGAGTGAGATTTTTTTCTTCATGAAATCTCTTCTTTAAAGAGTCTTAAATTTTTTCGATAATGGGTGGTTTTCGTGTAATTTGGCGCCACATTAAGGCAATGTTAATTTTTCTAAAACAATTTTGAAACTATATTCAACACAAATAGCACCACATTTTTCCTTAAAATTTCTCCTAATATGTAACGAAGGACGGGTCGTGACTAGTGTTTGGTCAGCGTGCTCATTTTCCACTACGCGGCTCCAAGTTCGATTCCCGGTCGTATCAAGACTATAACGTACGTTTGCCTTGCAATGTATCAGTATAGGTTGCCGTGTGACAAAATTCACTTCTCAGGTTGAGAAGACCGGAATACGGCGTGGGGATGTGTACATGCTAACCACACGTACCCCCCTTAACCTATAGCCGTGAGACAGGGACGTCGCCGGTAGGCCTGAGCCCATTCACGGGCTGTTGCGCCAAGTACATACATACACTAACAAAGGAAGATAAAAATATGGTGATAGTCCCATTTTTAAAAGTACAAAGTTGAAGATAGCGATTTTTGCCTGAGACAGTTTGTTATAAAAACTCATCTCTTTAAAAAAAGGCCATGTTCAAATTTTGTGAAACTGATTTCGGGTAATTTGTGTCGAAAACGTATGTAATTTGAAAAATAATTATTTTCTTAGAAACAGCTCCAAATGATTTTTCATTTAATGTTATCCTCGTAAGGTAGTAAAAATGTGGTCCTAGTCTCATTTTTGGCGAACTCTTCGTATTTTCGAAACTGCAATAACAAGTTCGAGTTAGTTAGCCGACACAGTTAGCTAGCCGGCAAAGTCGGACTATCGACCCCCTAAAAATGCCAAATACAAGCATACGTTTACAAATTTGCGCATTAACTTACAATTTGTTACATTCAAATTAAGTATTTATTTCTTTAACGTTATAACTTTGGGGTAATAATCGAACCTACCGGTAATATTAATATTTAGATTCACTAACAGAGCAATATGTACGTTATATACTACTTCATTAACACTCTTACACTATAAATGGTGTGACCAGGTATCAACATACATTTAATAATAAGATATTTTCGATCGCGTTTCTATTGCTTACGCAACTGGCATTCTGTCAAGATTCTGGAAATAATTTGTACCATATATTCTTCATCTTATATTTTATGATTTTCTGTAATTTTCAGATTAGCTCTGATGATGATCGCTACTCGATTGGAAAGTTCTTAAGATTAAATATATTATGATACCTGACAACAGCTTTTATTTAATTATTAAAAGACATCTACCTACTCCGCGATCTTGTTAATACGTCATTTCAGCGAAAGAGGTAAATATTTGCATGCGAGAGACAATAAGAAGATAATACTTTCTGACATTTTGCCGTTTCTTATATAATTCGCTGCTTCCACTGTCGCATCTTCAATTTTTTAATTAGGCAGTTAATGATTTTAGTTACATGGGGTGACTTAATTGAATTTAATGTTACTTTTCTGCGGAAAGGAATAAATATGCTCAATGTGTTGCTCCATTAGTTTTTTTTTCTAAGACTTTCGTTGCTCCTCGTGATTTGAAGGGCTTGGTACAATGACTGTTCGACTACCTCAAAGAATTAGTCTTCTGCCTTACGACACATTACTGTTCATTGATCTTCGCCTTACATCCCTGATGACTTCCATCCATTCCGATCGATCATATCAGTTTTCCCTCCCAACATTTTATTTCTGCAATTTTAAATTCGCCTGGGTATATCATCCGTCTTCATTTTACTTTAACTTTTCCCTGCGTTTTAACTTTGTGTGTTTTATGACCTTCAAGAATCTAGTTTCTAATTTTGGTGTGTTGTTCCATCACCATACTCATTTCTACTCTTGCCTCTATTCTTTTTGCATGAAATGAACGTATTTGGTTTGATACCTTTTACGTGGTCATTAATGACAATTAAAGAAGGGATGGTGGCAGTATATAATCTTTCGCTCTTTATTTAATAACATTTTGTATTTTAATAAAGTGGTAATATTGACACTTGAATAAATAGAGTATACTTAGGTTTTATTCTCCATTCCAGGTTTAAAACGTAACAAAAATAGTGAAGGTAAATCGTCTGCAGATTGTAAATCTTATTGCTACAAGTAGTATAACTGTTAATTTATCATGGAAAACAAAAACAAAATATAAACTATTTTAATAATGTAATTTTGTTAATGTAATTTAATTAATAATTAAATTAATGTAATTTTAATGTTATAGATATATTTATTTTTATATTTTAGTAATAATATATTGTAAATTGCAAAAATGGACGGGTAGCAAGAAAGGAAGGAGAGAAAAACTGGTGCAAAATGTTCCGAAGAGAGGAAAATGACACAGTGAGGAGATGGAGTACTGGAGAAAGAACATCGTAAAAGGATGTGTTGAAATTGTCTCGTAGTTCCTAAATTACCCTAACAACGGAAAGGAAGATAGAAGAAAAGAATAATGTATTGTGATTTGTTAAAATGTAATTTGTAATGATGTAATTTAAATAATAAAGTGATTGTAATAAATGTAATGTAATTATTTAATAATCTATTGCTTGGAACAATATCCTATTTGTGAAGACAAGATCTTTTGAACAACGACTTAATGTCTCTTCATATATGAATCGGTGGTTTTTGTCAAAAATGACTTACTTAAGGGCGGGAATTTCAACAAACGCCGTTGTCTATAATTACAACACTCGACATAGTAATCGTATTCATCAGGTGACAGTATCAACAGATCACTACAATAAATGACATAATACACGTACATTATTTTACAACACCTTGCCAGATGACATTAAACGATTAAATTCGATACAAGAGTTTATGTCCCAAGTAAAATCGTTTCTGCTGCACAACTGTTTCTATACAATTAGAGACTATACCGAGCATCCAAAAGGAAAGTAATATTAATTATAACAGTGACATTTAATGTATTTTATACCATTTGGATTGTATAATTGTAAAGAACCTCTAACAAGTATTGTACTTCAGCTTTTGGGTCAATGACCCCATCTCGATCAGGTTTTCGTCCAGTTTCCCTGATCCTTGAGCAACTGCTGAGATGGCCCCCTTGTTTTGCTTCTGGACATAAATGTAACTTCAAATTAACTTCACCCCGTAACACGTCACACTCAGTTTTTAACTGTTTTTGACGTAAATAAATAAATAAGTGCAAAAATGTTTCTTAATTGGTAATTGTTTTGAACATCTTTATTTCAGGAATAATTAATTATTTTGCTGTAACTTCGATTCATGCATTAACATTCACTAGAATCTTAAGCTCATATCAAGCTATTGCTCTATGCCAAAGCCTTCGTTATTTAGCGAAGGCTCTGTCTATGCAGATCTCAGAAGATTTCAATTATAACCAAAGTCAAGTGCCATTGGCTGAGCTCACCAATTGCCGTAATTCGTAAGATCATCGCCACCTCCCGAACAAAAATGCTTATATTTACGGGATTAATGACAGCAGTTGACGCGCCCCGAATCACGAGTAATCATTCAAACCTTGAAGGCAATTCTTTAAGGTATTGATAATGCGGAGTAATGCAATAACGTAAATTACGGTACATTGAAACATCCAATGAAATAAATTCAAACTCCGATGGTATAGTGAGCGTTTTAAGCAACGCAACCAGATCGAAACTGTTACGAATAATATTCTCATTAATTTTGAGATGTCTTTCCGATACCTGAAATGATGGTATTGTGGCAAACAGATTAAAGAAACATCATAATTAAAGAAACCACAAGACATAGCTCAGGGCAATAACTGTTGCCATTGCAATGTTCTTAACCGGGAAGTTCTAGCGTTCGACACGCGACGGTCACATATTTTCTACATTAGCTAGGTCGCATTCAGTCGCTGTTTGGAGGAGAATTATGGCGGTCGGCTGCTCTGATAGGTAGCTTTCCGTGGTTCCTCCGATCAATATCAGGCAAATTCCGACGGAGAACCATAACAAGCGGTCTATGGACCCCACGAACTTCCTTTCCCGGTCTTTGTTTCCATTTCTCCCCATTTGCGCGTGGCGATGGTGTAACGGTTAGCGTATCGAACTGTTGTACCCAAGTTGGCGGGTTCAAACTCGATCGAAGCCGTTGATTTTTAAGGGCCTTCCTACGCTTTCCCTCGGAGGGGAAGTAAAGCCGGCTGTCCCATGTTAGTAGATTTACTTGCATGTAAAAGATCCTCAAGCCTAAATGACGCCCCTGAGCTAAATTCAAATCTCGTTTTCTCGCCCAAGAAATACCTCCTTTCTCTGGTAGTTGGTGAAAGGAGCGTAGAGAAATTTGCGTGGTCAGACGAAAGAGCAGGCTTCATGGCCTGAGTCTCGCCACGTAAAATAAGGCATTAATTCAATTCACCAGATCTCAAGTTCTAGCGGGTCGGGAACACTGATACTTACATTGATATAACCTGCACTATATTAATGGAACTAATGACCATCGCGCTCAGAAACACGAAATAATCAAACAAATTAACAGGCATCAAGCTAATGTTCTTTAGAAGTCACGGTCTGGGGATGCTATGTGTGACAATCCTTTTTTAACCCCTTAGTAAGATGAAGTAACATTCAGTTCATATGGCTGTTAGCTTTTCTATAACCGAACTTACGGAATACCATGAAAGTATGCGATAACGTAGGATGTAGTAATGATTAAATGACTAATCGGATATTTTTCATACTTACACTCACACTATGAATTGTAGACAAGCTATTTTCCTTTTAATCCGAGTGAGTCCTTAATACTCTTTGGTCTCGTGTTTATATATCAGTTTTTTTACATGCTAAAAGAAGAAATTACCGTTGAATGTTGTTTGTGCATTATTCTCATCATTTGTTTTATCATAAACCTGTACGTTTTATTCTTTATCTCTAACAATTATTACTAGTTTTTATGTATTTGGTACTACTGTATCAGTTCTCAAAATACGTTTTATTGTAATATTAGAGAACATTCACCTTAAGATGATGGTCGCATTAAGCGCACGAATCGTTTTACTTGTGTTTTTCAATGAATAAATGTATCAATTACTATGTATCTAGAATTGAAGTGCATGTCTATACTTTAAGAGGAAATATCTTGTACCTTAATTATATAGAAACATAATCATATTGGTTGCGGTTTAACAAACAACTACAATGTAAAAATAACGATTATGATTTTCCTTTTCGATTATGATTTGTCCATATGACTTCAAGGCCTAAATTTGCAAGCACATAAAAATAAAGCCAAATATTTTACCTGAGGTAGCAGGACTTTTGCAAAATCCGAAACTTCATCCACTGACTATTAAAGCATTTTAAAATATATTTTAGTCAAACAACAGTATGATGAGGACATACTCAACTTTCATTTCAAATACACAAATCTCGTAACGGGTTTATTTTACCACGTCTTGAATTTGCTCACAGAACAAAATGCTGAATGGTGAGCAAAGAAATAAAGGGAAAGCACCGCAGATAAAACACACCAGCTGAGTTGTGAGGCGCCGGCACTTTGCGCTTTCATACGCCGTTGATGTGCTCGTTTCGTTTCTGTACATGTCCACGCGTGAAGGTAATGACCAGCGAATTAAAACCACGCTGTTTGTGCACAGCCTTTTATGAAGTTCCAGATAGGGAGTAGATGTTTTAGAGGCAGAGATCTCGGCACGGAGTGTCGTTGGTGAACTACAATGGGGTTGAAGTAACTACAATTCTATAGTGATGCAGATTTGTCGTTTGATATTAACACAAAAATATATAGTTCAAAATACATTGGGCTTGTAGTTTCTTCCGCATGAACTTATCACCAACGCCTTTTGGATTAATTAGTGATGCTAAAAAGCACATATTTTCTCACAATATTATAAAGTTATCGTTATGTAATTGGTGATGCGAAGTGGTGGACTAAGAACAAATTAAGGTCTGATCCGTTGACACATCAATTACTCCATCCTTCATTACCTAATTTAACTTACCTTTACGAAAGACCGCTGACTGGATTTGCGATTGTTAACTTCGTGTTAAACCGAAAGTTGATTGTTTCAGGTTCTATCACCATCACTTGGAAATTAGCAGGCATAAGTGAGATTGATACGTATAGTTTAATTATTCAATTAATTTCAGAAAAGCAATCGAGATTGCTGCATAAATCAGTCAATGTAAATACATAAAGAATTAGAGCATAAGGCATCAATGTGATTAATGATCACGTAGCATCATTGAGCAGTTGCAAGTTGAGAAGTTACGCCTGTAAAGAAGAACAAACAAAGAATACAAAATTGGCCCGTGAATATCAGAGTGGCTGCAACGCGGTGGGCATTGATGTAAATAGCGATGACACGTGGGAAGGGGCCCCAGCCGGCGTCTGCTGAGGCTGCAAGAAGTTCTTGCCCAACAGTTTTTGTACCGGTTGGCGCAGTGTTACCACTCATGTAGAGCTGAACAACAAGACACCTTATTACATAAAAGTACAATGACAAGACCACGTTGATGGCGCGTGTTTGATCACGTAACCACTGTTTATAGCCACAAAAACACAGTCACTGGATGCTATTAGTCCTGTTGTACATGAATTCACACTCGCCATGAGATTACAGATGATGACTGTTGCACGTATAAGTACATATTGCGTAACATCTTCATAATTAATTGACATGCAACTGTTCAAGTTATTAAAACAAATTAAACAGTGATTAGTGGAATTATAAAATTTTTACACATATGCACTTAAGATTGTAGTGCACAGTGAAATAGAAGATTAGCTACGCGTTGCAGCGTGACTACTTGCCGTCGTGTTTGACGATGTGGTTGCACACGTGATTTTTTTGTGAATTTGTTGCGTCTATATCGATGCAATGCGTCTCCTAACTTCGTAAGGAGCGTTCAGCGCACTGGAGTAATCCTCCGTTAATAGGCACCCTCGAGGGGCCGCTGTGTTGTCAAGTCACGCCAGTCATAGTCAAGTCAGGAAATAGCCGACAGGTAGCGTCTTAGCGCTCGTGTCTCGCACGCGTCTTGCGTCGTCTACCCAACGGCCAGAATTGGGAAGGAATAAGGATAAGTGTAAGATTTAGGAC